TGTCAGATGGAAAAGTGGAGCAAGCCCTATCAGCCCTCCACCCCCCTCCTCCTCCTGGTGGCTACACTGTTAAGTGTGTTAGTGTGTGTGTGTTTCTGGTTTAAGTGTATGTCTGTGACGATGAGGAGAGATGGGGAAATATGCACAAGCGCAAATTTTGTAAAGTGGTAAATGAAAGCAAGACATTTCAATCTCAAAAGATAAACTGACCAATCATCAACCAGCAAGATTTATTTTATTTTATTTTTTTACAATTGTACAACCATATCTGTTGGCCTTCCTCATAATTATTTAATAAACTTCCACTTAAGTTTAGAAGCTGCCTTGAAACAAGCTCACTTAGATCACTTGTATAATGTACCTGTGATAGGTATCTGCTACAGGCTGTAATACTGGCTATTACCTTATATAGATGAACATATGGAGGGCTACTTTAAGACTGAACTTTATGTCTCCTCAGGGATAACATTGTTGTATAGCATCAAATTTATTGTCCATCCATTTTCTGTACCCACTTCAGGGTAGAAGTGAGCTGAAGTATATACCAAAATGCACTGAGCCTGCAAGAGGTGGGGTACACCATGGACAGGATCTAACAAAGAGCTATACATGCAGACACACATATTTATAAATGGGTAAATTAGAGCTTTCTTAGGGCTTTCTTTCACTTCTTTCTTAACATACGCAAATCTTACCCCAAACTGTTGGTAGTCAAGTTGCATTGTAGGTAATGTAGGTGCCAGGTTTTGGACTAGGTAGAAGTGTGTGAAATAAAAAATGGCATCAACTTTGATCAGTTTTTAAAAACTGTCCAACATGAGTCTAACAGTGTCTGCTATCCCAGAGGGACAAACAACACTCCCTATTTATGTATTTTATTCTTTCCATTCATTTACTTGCTTGTTTGTTGCACAGGAGATTAAGAGATGGTATATAAAGGACCATAAAACGATGAAAAGTGCCACATGCTTGGCTAAGATCAGAACTTGCTGCTATGCCTTTTTGTAAAATAAATGTGATTACACTTTGGCCAGATTTGTGTCCAGCTAGTTTTTGGCAGAGTGCAGAATATGCCTTTGACTTTTTACTTCATTTAAGGTTGAGACCTGCCAGTGCCAAAAGTTGATAGCGGTGCCAGATCAGTCTGAGCCCAAAGCAAGCCTCAATCTACCGTGTCAGATAGAGGATGTTAGAGGAACTTGTGCCGCACACCAGGAAATTATTACTCTATGGCGGTGGTGGGCGGTGGGGGTTGGAATGGGTGCCTAGGTCTTTAACCACTGATCCCTGATCAGGCAGAAGACCACTGGGGATTAGAAATGGGATTAAGTGACCCTCAACCATACACAAGCTTAGTGCCATCCATCCATCTAAAGTGTATATTACATTTATCTCTAACTACTGGGTCATATTTAGTAAAGCATGCTTTAAAATGAGATTGCTCAGTTGCCTGCTCATAATGCATAGCAATTTGAGCTTTTTCATTTGTATAACAGTATGTTGCTTTATGCTTCCTGGAAATGAATTATGAAATGCATGAGTGATGCATAAATAATTTTTTGAGTATGCAATGTATATTCTATAGATGCCAGTAAAAATGCAGTTTGTTCTGATTTAGGAATCAGTATAGTATATCTGGGTGTGGCACATTTACAATCTAAAAAGGGCCACAGTAATCTATAATGCACCAGACATAAGATAAGTGCTCCATTGCATGAGTGCGCTTATGTCAGTGTGGGTTCAGCCAGATATCCTATATTGAGGCAGAGTGAGGGTCAAAGCACGGAGAAGCCAGAGGCAAGGTCAGCAACCACATAGCAAAGAGAAGCTGAACTCCATCATTCATCATCATTTCTCACAGAAAAGAGAGAGAGAGAGAGAGAGAGAGGGGGGGGGAGAGAGAGAGAGAGAGAGAGCGAGAGCACAAAAACTAAAGACTTAAAGAAATAACTCAGTGAAGATTCAAGGCAGACAAAAGTGACAACATGAAGACTTTCAGCTCCACAGCAAACATGTCAAGAAAATGTGAAAATTTTTACTCTTAACAGATTTGCTTCCGCTGACCTGAGGTCCCAGTTTCGAATCTTATAAAACTTTTATGAGAGCTAAAGATAACAGTATCTCTTCGAGACGGCGAGGCAAATGAATGAAAGCAGGTTGAGGAGACAGGCACATGGGGAAAGGCAGGGAGGGACGGCGAGCGCGGTGATTTGGGTGGGCAGATGGCGCCGACATATGGGCCTGTTAGGGGCAAAATAAATAAATAAACACTCACACATAAATACTGAGATGAACTGTGAGTGCCACAAACTGTTGGCCAACTTAGCCAGCTGAGAGACAACGCAAATGGCGGAGAGCTACCGCTGAAATTGCCTGCAGATTTCTAAGTAGACCACCACTGCTGAAAAACATGCGCGCAGACAGTTGTGATGGGGATGACAGCAGGCTTTAGAGACTTGAGCCTCGGTGTGATCTCTAATCTCCAAGTAAGTATGTGTACCCATGTGTGCATTGTAACAGTTAAGGGAGAAAGATACACATGCAGTTTATCATTTGTTTTTTGAATGTGGTTGCATCTGTGTGCACTAAATATAGACTCCATATGTAGGTAATGGTTAAAGTTATTTTCCATCTCTGAGCTGCACTTCTTTCCTCCCGCTGTCTGGTTCAGCTGCTGCCATGTTTGCCTTCCCTCCACATTGCTATCTATACATCCTCCACCTCTTGTCTGCCTCCTGCTCAACCTCAAAGCCTGTGGCTCAGTTAGAGAGACAGCCAGGTTGAGAGAGGTGATATCCTCCAGCAAACAAACGGCTGCTTTGTACAACATGTTCTCTGCCCGTATCAACAGCATGCCGCCTGCCCAGCTCCAGTCGAGATTTGCTGCCCAGCACAGACAAGCAAATGGAGGAGGACTGAAAAACCAAAATTGTACAGTCAGTGTATATATACACATGCTACTTTGGTCCCTGTGCAGTCCCTTTCTGTCCTGCGTATATACACTACACATAATGTATAGATGATAAATTCCATATGCCACCATCGGATTTTTTGCAACTAATTCTTGGCTTTTTTAATTTAAGCGCACCAGTTGGCTGGGCTTCCCAGCCTCACACCGTCTCCTAACAGCATCTGTGCTTCCAAATAGCTTGTTGTAATGACTCCAGGCTGTTTACACTGAGACGGTCAAGTCTGTGCATTAGCTCAAGATGTAAACAACCCACGGAGATTTTTGTAAATTTAAGAGAGCAGGAACAGCTGACACAAGTGTCAAAAATAGAGTTAATCTTTCACTCATTGACGCTCCTGGCTGGTTATGGCAGCCTCAGTAATTATGACGGGGACATTATTGTTTTGTTGCTGGTGTTTGCTGCAGGATATTAAAAGATGTATAATTTAACACGCAATCCTTGCATTCCAGTGTGTGTCACATTAACTTAAGTCCTGGTCAGCAAGTGTACGTTTGTGTGTGAATGCTTCTAATCACCTGTGACTGCTCCCTACTGTGTGTGTCGGCAAACATATTACCTAATCCCTGGTAAACACATTTGGATGTTTTCCACATTCCTCCCAGTTTGAGTATGTTTGGTTGGTAGATATCATCGCCACCATGCCACTTTATATTCTGTTTGGCTCTCTGCCCTCGTAATGTCTGCGAATTTAATTTGATTGCAGCTGTAATCTGCCGGCTAGTTAATTGACTTTGCCGAGCTTTGTTCCTCTCCTCTACCTTGATAGAGAAGGGTAGTTTGATAAGTTACAATGTTTTATCCTCTTTGTGCGAACCCGCAGCCCCATTGTGTGCTGTGGTCACTGGAGAGTACTCCTCTAGAACTGGATGAACTAATGTGATCTCAAGGGGTAAGATGAGCTGACCAGAACTTTTCTGTCATTCATCTTCTTGTCGCACCAGACAGGGAGGTCCTACTGCGATGGTCCCAGGACAAATTAAATTCTTATGAAAGCCATTTGATCCGTCAAAGTCCACTCTGTCTCCTAAAAATGATGTTCATATACAACAAATCTGTAGTAGCAAATACATTGTAGGAAAAGCAATGCCACCAGGACAGCATTTTTAATTAATTAAATGCTAAACAGATCGATCTCCACAGGGGCCCTACCCCAGGCCCTAAACCTAACAACATGTGGTGCGCTACCTCTAATGCCTACTTCACCCACCCATGACTTCCTCAATAAAGAACTTGCCAATTAAACAGGCAGACATTACATTCACTCTAAAATTAGTAGTGTATTACTGTATTTATTCGGAGAGAGGTTTGCATCTGTGTAGTTATACTGGCATGGGTAACAGATATGGGCCATTTAAAGATAGTAGCTTGTGATAGTGAAAGTGCAATGAGACCATGGCCTGGAACCAAACCATGGTTTAATGGTTCTGGACACGTCTGACTTTGTTATTGACAAAAAGAGTAATCGCTATGTGGGTTAATGGTTAAAAAAGCATGATCAATTGTGCTGGTTTACATTAGGTAGTTCAGTTATGTGGTTCACTATTTGGTCCACTATACACAGCCAACAAGAGTCAGTGGCCTATATAGAAAAAAAAGAGAGAACCCATTAGGTAGAAACTAAGGCTTCAGGTCACTGATGGCATAAAGCTGGATCGTTCAAGCTGAACCAAATGTCCACAGTGGGATTCAGAATTGCAAATGAAACCTTTAACATGGTGTGAGTGAAGGTAAACACTGAAAAATAGGACTGCTAGAGAGGTAACCTTGCTCCACTGAGGCACTCTGAGTGATTCTACTTTTGAATTCTCAGCAACACGGAGTGAATGGTGTTTGTTCTCATTGACTAATTTAATTAACAAGAACACAGGGAACTTCATTAGACTGTTTTCAGTTCATTAATAAAATTAATCTGACTGGGCACGAGCACACGCAAGATAAACATCAACACACACACAGACAGACATGGGCATTACTGCACTGTACACTCACATGCACACATGAGTGTCAAAATCATTTAGAGTAACTTACGGGTTGCCATAGTCCCAGACAACGCACTGAGGATCCGATGTACCCTGCAAGATATAGGGAGAGGGGAGAAAAGGGAGGGTTGGGTGGGGGAAAGAAGATAAGCTGTTATTCCAAGTCGAGAGGATGAGTGAGAGAGGCAGGCAGGGAGAAGACAGAAGAGCTCATTGCCAGAGGAGAAAGAGTGATGCTGCATGGGCGATGGAGAGAGGTAAACAGACAATGAAAGAGAAGGATTGAGACAGACGGCGGGAGGGAGGGATGGAGAAAGAGTCATTGTCAGAGGACAGAGCAGCAAATACCTGCTGCTGCTGCAAAAAGAGAGAAGGTGTGTGAGCAATGAATTGAGAGAGTTAAGAGACAGAGAAAGAAAAGCCATTTCATGGACAATAATACACAGCAAGTTGGGGTCATAAACATCCAGTAGTAGAAAGGCATTCAAATTCTTTACTTAAGTACAACCACAGTGGGAAGTAGTGAAGTAAAAGTAAATAACTATGCAGCAGTAAAATGTACTTAGGTATAACAAGTACTTATTGTGAAGGACTGCCCCTTTAGAGTAGGTAAAGGCTCACCAAAGTCAAGTCAAGTACTTCATAAAGTCTGACCCTGACCTCTAAACATCCTCACGTGTATTCTAGGAATTTACTAAAAACATGTTAAAAACCTAAATAAGTCACACAGCCTCTCATGACAGTCTAAATGCTGCTGATTTACTATCAGCTCACTCTTAATCCATCGCTGGAGCCAAAAGCCGATCACTGGGGTTCGAAAGGCAGGTGAATCATCTGGTAATCAAAGCTCAGTCACGCGTGGTGGCGAAGGAAGACTCGCTATGGCTCAATCAGTGAATCAATCACAGGATCAATAGCTTTAACTGACTCATCACAACTTGTTCCACCGGTGATCTTCAGCGATCTCTGCATTGATTGCTTTTAAAGAATTGTCTGTGCCCTTTCAACCTGCATGGCTCATTTGCTAAGGATTGGATTAAGATTGGTTTTAGGTGAACTTTGGGGCTGTCTGGTCTGGATCAAAGATTCTGTTTTCACATTCATTCCTAAATCATAAAGCGTTAAAGTCTCAAACTGGTGGAGCTTAAAGTACAACCCCAGCCTGAGAGGAACAACTGGCTGATACACTTTCTGGTTCCTTTAGAATAAGACTGATCGGGCCTCTTGTGTAACTACATCGGGTACCCACAATAGAGATGCCATTCTTCCACTGGGCGGATGCAGAGGAAAATGGATCCCTCTCTGTAACAGTCTGTTGGCCCTTCCCGAGTCCTGCATTAAGCAATTTGCCTTTGAGCTCCCCCTTATGGTAAAGGGGATTATAGCAGTAATACCACAGCCACACTGTTCTGGCCCCTAAAAAAGGGATGATGTCCACTAAGTAGAGGCACTACTGCCTGAGAAAAAAATGAAGAAATTGCATCTTCTTGAGTGAAGAGCAAACTGACGGCCTTCTAAATATCAACACCTCTCACTGAGCAGAAAAGGGAGAGATGGAGGTGATGCACATTCAAGTACTATGCACTACGCACGATGAGGATTAGTTTCTCTGAAGGCAAGGTCACCCCTCCTTCTGTGAACGGTTCATAACTGATCTACAAAGAATCAGCGAATGAATCCGGGGGTCTCTGCATGGCTGGACTTGAGAGGACGGGATGATGCAACATTTATAACCACGAGATCAGACGCTAGGTGACACAGATTGATGGATGACAGCGCTTTGTTCTGCCTCATACGTAGGCCGCCGCCGTCACCGACACTAGATGTCCCAGGGCGTGCATTAGCACAGCGGGCTCTCTTAGCATTCAACTATCAATCAGCGGGCATCGTGCCTGACTGTACGCTACAGCGGGAGTGACATCCGTGTACTCCCACGATGTCTGCCTCCTCTTAAGTGCTGATACGTCGCATAATGACAACGTCTGCTCAACTGATGCCTCTCAAAGGGAGCATCGCGTGTCTGATTCTAACAGCCGCATTTATGGACGGTAATAATGGTGTCTACCTTAACAGCTCTGCATTCATTTTTCTCTCAAAAAGAACAGCCATTGTCTTGAAGGCATTCACAACCAGGTGGTAACCATTTGGTGGTAAAATGCTTAAGCTAATCACATGAAATAAGCTACTGTAACAGAACAAGACCACATAGACTCAGGGAGTCTTAAAAGCCTTCCACATCATATCAAAGATTATAGATTCAGAAAATGAAATGGAGCAACCTGGATGTTGCTTTTTGACTGATGAAAGTAAACTAGATTACAGTGAAATTACCAGAAAGGCTCATGGCTGATGTTTGTAAAGCTAACCAGAGCTGCCTTTTATAATTAGAAAGACTAGCTGAAGGACTGAAGGATAGATGGAGGGGGGGGTAACTTGGCATCTGTTCTACTGTAAGGACACAGAGCTTTCTGGCCTTGTGCTTCTTACTCACCATTAAAGACACGCGCACACTTTGACACCGGGGACATATGTAGGGAGTCTGACTGGAGCAGATGTCCGCTCAGTGAAGACATGACCGTGCACAGACAACCCTATGCCCCCCCTTTGAGAGTGAAGCCTGAGGCAGCTGTTGGCACGGCACTGCTTCAGCAGGCCAAGGTCGACACCTACTGCAGTTGAAGACCATGACAAGTGACCGTGCTCTCCCTTGCACTTCCTTGTCTTCACTGGTTCCCATACTGGAGCTCAGCATATGCTACTCAATGTAGTTCATGCCAAGCGTAGGAATGATGAGCAAAGGTTGACACCGCCTTTGAAGTAAAAATAATTCTGTGTGCATCTAGATAGTTGTAGGGCATTATTGGGAAGTAGTTCCACCAAATCTGATCAAACTAGTTCAGCTTTCTTTTTGCAGTACAGTTTGGTTGTATTCTACACCTCAATAGCGTAGGAAACACTCTACCTTCTTGGGTAATAAGCTTATTTGCTTTTTTTGCCTAGAGTTAGAAGAAAGGATTGATATCACTCATATCTGTACATTAAATTAGAAAGTACAGCCAGCAGCAGGTAAGTGTATTTCTAAAAATGTTGAAAAACAGCTTTAATCTTCCTGGTATTTCACAGCAATTATTTTCATAATGAAAAAAAAAAAACACTATTCTTTTGTCTTTTATTTAGCTTTTAGCATTTGCTAAAAACCTAAATTAATTTCAAGTAGCAATTATGAATATGTACGGCCATGACTAAGACCATGAACACTGGTTGCATTTCAAATGAAACCAAATTAATATTATGCTAATCACTTCTTCTGTATCTTCTGCAATATCATGTATTCTTTGTTATATGGCAGAGATATATTATTAATGTAGTTTTAATTAATTTTCTTCATCACTTTATTAAATCAAATATTTTTCTTCTTTAACTGTAGGTGAACTCTTCCCTGCACTTAAGACCTGGACTGGGGGCATGGAGTTTCAAAGATGTTGGCATTTAACAGGCAGGAAAGGTCTAATGAAAGAAACTATTCAGTTGCTTTATGGGAAATGCAGGATTTTGCTTTTCTGGTGCTTGGCCCATACAAAGGGACAGAAAGTCAGGATCTCTCAGTATGTGCTGCACTGATTTTCACCATCCATTTTTAAATCCAACTCTTGTGAAGCGTAATCCTAAATAGCAGAAGTACCCCTCTAAGCAGGATGATAATGACTCACAAACACTAGTCGAAAGGTATGCATATATGCATGCGCCCTCCACATTGCTGTTCGAGCCCAGTACTGTACTGGGCGCTGGAAAAATTTCTGTTCTCAGCAGGAGCCTCCGGTTAGTCCAGAGCAGCATGCTAGGATCAGCATTAAGACATTATCCTTGAGACAGTGTGCGCAACCTGCAGTACCTCTGCTGTGCCAAAAGTGTTAAAAAGCAGAATAATAGGTAGATAAAAGATAGAGGCATATAAAGGAAATGCTATCATTAAGTAAAGAATCAGTGGTTTAAAGCAGGGAGATGGAGTGGCGGTGGATGAAGAATGAATACAAAGTCTTTATAATGAAACACTGCAATAATTCTGACCCTCAGGTCCTGGTTGACACAACAAGGGACTGATTTCATTGGAAGATTTTAATATGTGTGTATATATGTGTGTGTGTGTTTGTGTGTGTGTGTGTGTGTGTGTCTATGTGTTTGTGTTGTCTGGAGAGAACCATTAAATATTCAACATTATTTTCAAAACTGTGCCCACCTTTACACAGAAGAATGGCTAATGAAACCTACATCTTATTGAGGTCGTGAAGAGTGCCTCTCATTAAACTTGCACTTAGTCCTTTCCACTGAAGACACCCCACCAGTCGTTTATAATAACACACTCCACTGTAATATAAACTGAATAGGTACCAAGAGACGCTGCGTTATAAGGAAGTCAAAAAGGTCTGCATTTATTCAGGCAATTCACAGAGCACTATGGCGCTTTATAGCATGCAGCACTTTCTCTTTCATCTGAACTCAGGAAACATGGGTCAGCTGGGAGAAAAGAAATCCTTTAAAGCCTTCAACAAATTTATTTTCTTGGCCAAAGCTTGCTCAATATACAAGTAGGCTACATAATGAAAAATGCATACCCTTGCATTGGAAAGTGCCTCATATGGAATAATATACATTTTTGTTGCATGTAACACACTTTGATATTCCTCTAAAAATAAGTGGTTTTCTGGTGGTTGGAAGTTACACAGCCATCTGTACGAAAACCTTAGAGCGGTTGGGAAATTTTAGATGATGAAAATTAAAGAGTGATGTTCTCCAGTGTGAAGAAAATTTCAGATTTTAGAAAAAATAAATCTTACATTAATAAGCGGTGACAGCTCGACCACCACCATGGGCTCACTGGGCTGTGGTTCAGGCCGTACCGTCACTGTCAGGATCTTGGAGTTGATCACCGCAGGGTGCCTGCAGAGACACAAGCAATCAAACATAAAAGAGTGTTATTTTGTATGAACAGCACTGCAAATTCAAGTATAAATTGTCCCTCTGAGTTTGAAAAATCATGAGAGAAAAAAAAAGTGGAATATGCTGGTGAGTCGCTTTCTTTTGCTGTTTGTCAAACACATACATCCAAAAACACTCAGAAACAGACACACACAGCCAATGCCCTGCCATGCTTTTGATGGTTTTTGAATGTGTTTGCAAAAATAAATACAAACATAAATAAATAAACATATAAATAAAAATCCTAATGAGAAAGGGAGAAAGCCAGGGCCAGCGCATAAGTTAGAAGAGCACACAGCACCTATTAGCATTCAGCAGAGCTACAGGGAGAAAAGAGTTTTAACAGATCTAGCTCATCCACAACCAAGAGCACTGACCTGAATAAATGGGCCCAGGGCCAGCACAAACACCACATCATAGTGGCCTTTTGACAACCTCCTGATTTCTCCTAACTTCCATTTTTGCAAGTTCTATGCAAGTTTCATGACCCATTAGGCCCGCACCCATTCCAAGCCCACTGTACAATTCCAAAAATACATCGACAATGAAATAGAAAGGAAAAAACATCTAGGGAAATGTACTTTTTTGGAGATCCAAGACATTTGTCTGATAACTAGGCAGACACAGCGAGAGGAGGGAAGTAATAAGAGACACTATAAGAGAGAAGACAGATGGAGAATTGGAGGTTGGAATTAGTTGGAGAGAAGAAGCCAAAGAATAAAGGACACAGAAATAGGGAGGTAGTGAGACTGGGAAAAAAAACCCAAAAAACAAAAGTGAATACAAGGGAGATGAAAAGTCTAATGAGAAAGTGCTGGGCAAAAAAAAAGGAAAAGCAGAAAGGTCAAGGAAAGGACAGGGAAAGGAGGAAATATAGTTTAAAAGGCTTGAAAACATAAGAATACTTAGACAGTGGGTCACATGAGAAGTACTCACTTTGGTGCAGGTAAGATGATGCCCAATGTCCTGTACAAGATGGCTCCGATGACATAGTACAATGTAGACTCAGAGTCCGCCTCCGTCTCTGAAACACACAATTATGCAACTGATCAGCCTAAACAGATGCCATGGTTTGCCTAAAACAACTTCAAAATCAAATATAAAACCATCCGTTCATCAATTAATGTATTTCTATTAAAAGAAACAAAATGTGACACTTTATAAACTCTTGCAGAAGAATTTATATTTAAAACATCAACAAGAATGCTGCAAACCCGGTTGTATGTTGATTGGGAAGATAAAGGAAATTTAAATTTTAAACCATACAATATTAAGACTGCTAATCTGACATTTAGGCTGCAGTGTTGGTATTTGTGATTGATTTTCCAGCTAACCTGCAGTGATAACTGGGTCATTTGATATAGATAAACTGAATCCAAACACATCTATTAGTTGGTGAAGCAAACAAGCACCGGCTTCAGCTGTCTCATCATCCTTCAATTCCAGCTTAATTTACATTTTCTTTTAAGCTGTCGCTGACAAATGCTCTGTTGGCTACATCAACATAAGAAACGTTAGTCAATTGCAGTCTGATATGACATCTTCATATTCTACAGAACTATTATGCTCCTGAGTTGAAAACATACCACTGATTCAAGTGCAATATCCTGGTTTCACCCTTTGTGTGGGTAGAGACGCTATTTGTGTTAGTTTGTTTGACTTTTAGCAGACAGTAGCACACCTATTGCTCAGCTACACCTAATACAGAAGCCTAATTTCTAAAAACCGCGCTCCAACATTCAGTTAGTTTGATTAAAATAATTTTAATAAAGCCTCTACACCATCATTAGACACTGTCCTTCTCTACACTGTTCTCTCCTTCTCCCTTGTTTTTAACTTCTCTACTTGCCCCTCTCGTCCTCCTTTGTTGTTCTTGCCATTCTCCAAACCACTTCTCAACTTTTCCTCCCTTTTCAACAGTCTTTTTTTTTACAACCCCTTGCCTTTCCACCACTCCCTCCAGTGTTCTTTCACCAAAAAGAGCAGGGGCTCCCAAGGAGACATAGTGTGCCTCTGTAAATGTCACTTTGTCTCAAATGAGGGAGGCGGAAGGACGCAGAGAGGAAAAGTAAGAGGGGAAGAGTTCATGTTGAGAGATGCCACTCCCTCCTTTGCCCTTTTAGGCTGAGAGAAGCAATGGAGGAGCAACGGCACAGAGAGGGGAAGAGGAAGAGGCAGAGGGGCCTGATGGTATCAGACGTACTGGGTGACTCATCTAAAATCTGTCTGCCTGCTGCCTAAGAGGTAATACTCAGAAAGAGAGATAGCAATGCAAGACAGACAAGGAGAGAGAGAGAGGAAGAGACAAAAAGATTTCAACTGTGGGGGGAGAAAAAAGCAATTGTGAGACTGTGAGGAGGCAAAAAACAGATCAAAGTCGGCATGAGAAAGCCTGTGAGTGTGATGGATCCTAATTGGACAGTGTCTGCAAAGGCATGCAAATGAGAAAGTCAGTGTATTGTGGGTAAATGGCAAATCAGTGTGTGAGGGGGTGGCACTCCTACGCTCAAGGATGATTAATACCACAAAAGCACTCAATCACAAAACTCTAATTTCCCACGAACAGACTTTTCGTCACTCTTCGCTTGCTGAACATCTAAGTGATTGGTGGTCAGCTGCAATCCAGCAAAATGGGAAACCACCAGTCACCAGCTGTGAACTTTAATATGCCATTTGTCAGGATAAGATATGCTTAGTGTTGATGCTAAGCCATAATTTATGGTTTTAATCAAAGATTGAAAGCTCCAGTTCCACGTGAGTTACTCTTTTCTTTCCTTCCTGGTTTCTTTCTTCTGCACATTTGCTTTTCTCACAACTTTTGTACACAGCACAGAAAGATTCAACAAATGAAGGTACTTTAGAATAGCATTACTTTCGCCCAGTTGAAAAGACTGCTCAAGCTAAGAAAAACTGACTGTAGGTCTGGTTTTATTATTTGCACAAACATACAACATATGACTCCATACTAAATGACTTTTCATTCTATTTTAACTATTTTTTCGTTAAGAGGTAAATGAAAAAAGCAATAGCTCTCACATGTCTATGGTTTATGTGAGGAGCTGGAGCCAGGTTGGCTAATGTCAAATAATCATTATTACAGCTGTGTTTGTGTACAGAGTAATCCTCAAAATTTTGAGAGAACCAGTCTAGCTCCCTCTGCCTACAATTTTTAAGCTAAGCTAGGGTATTCACCTCCTGGTTCCAGCTCTGTAGTGAGGTATGAAGTGGCCTATTTCCTAAAATGTCAGACCATTCCTATTTACATAAAATATACACTTTTATTTTAGCACCAATCAAACTGGTGACATTTTGAACCTAAACATAGTTACAGTTAAAACTACACATAAGGAAGTTGGTCTTTAACACATTATTGGAGAGCAGAGCTTATTTGGTTTGTCTTCTTGCTTGAGTAATACCTCAAAGCTAATGGTGCATAACCATATGCATGTACCAGCAATGGTGTATTTGAAATATGAAGTCATTTCTGGCTTGTATGTCTGTGTATGTGTGTGTGTTGCTGCATGACAGAGCGAGTGCCTCCACTGGTGTTTGTGAGAGAAAAGAGAGAGAAAGTGTAGGGAGAGAGGGAGTTTGTCACCTCAAAAATCAGTGAAGAACAGTCCCAGCCTCTGCCCAGTGAAGCGATTCATGAACCTATCAATTGGCAGCGTCTATGTGCAACTGTGTGTGCACGTGCACACACAAAGGTGCCAATGGGCCTTTATGAGCATGTTTAAGCTGTCCATCTGAGATAGGCTTTCATTATGGGGCAAATGAACCAATCAAACTGATAGCAATCAACTGAAGAACTCAACTCATGGACTGCCAATGGGAAGAGGCAGAGCTCCCACAGGGGCAAAGAGTACTAATAATGTCCTAACTCATAAGGCTATATGCCATTTGGGTGGAACAATTTACCAAATAGCATATGCTAAAATGGCAATGGCATGTGAGTATCATATGAGGAAATGGCAGAGGAAATGTAATGCTGCCGGTCACTTTTATTGCACCACAAGAGACAAAACATTCACCACCATAAGCTATGAAGATAATAGAGAAACAAATCATGAATGTAGAAAAGTAAAACAGAAAGGCAGGATGAATGAAGAATAAGAAAGAAGACAACATCACAATGCAGCGGCATCGTGCTAACACCCTTTTGTCTCAAGCTGCAGCATAACACTCATCCTTTGAGATATCAGAATTTGCTGTTCCATAAAATCTGCAAAAACAACTTGAACTAAACAACTTACAGGCAACTCATAAAAGGGTTCTGTTACATAAAAACAAGGTGGATAGTTTACAATAAGCACATTACATTGTGCTTGGTAAAGGGGTGAGTTGAGGTGAGGTGCCCTGAGGTTAGCATACAGGATGTCTTGAACGCCAATCAAAGAGAGTTTGTGTCATCAGCGCGAATCAGAGGTCAGAGACAGCTCTGCTCTCTCGGTCTGCAGCCTCTCTGAACTTTAATTTGAGCAGGAGGACGGGGTGCCAGACAGGAAGTCTGCCAGTGTAATTTCCTGTGGGATGTGACCTTTGTCTTCGTTGGTAGTGAATCGCATCTGCCACAGTAATTCTCTTATCTGATATGAACCACTTTCTTCCCACTCTTTTAAGTCCCCTTCACAACTTTAGATCCCACGCTTCCTGGTGTCTTCTTTCTCTTTATCTTCCACGTTTATTTCTTAGTGCGCGTTTGGACAATCACTTTGCTTGTTACTTAACTTTACTTTTAAAAAATTACAGCCGTTAAGACAAACAGCAGTTACATTTCTTGTGTTGTGAGGAATTGATGCTCTCAAGGGGATGCAGTACACCTCTTTACAGATGAAAGACCTGCATCTTCTATAGAAGCCCTCCAGGGTCTCTTTACAGTCCAAATCCTTCTCAGCATTACCCTCCGACGTCCTTGAAAAGTCTGCTATCTGCCTTCCATGAGACACATTTCTGAGTGTGTGAATTCGCACTGGGATAACTTCTTAAACTGACCTTGGCTGAAGGGGGGGGGGGGTGATAAAGGGTCCTCCTATGTCTAAGAGTAGAGTCCAGATTGAGAGTGAGGATGACAACCAAAAGAGATTCACATCATGGTTGTGGAAACTGGAGCTCAAACCCGACTTAATACAGACGTCTGGAACTGCTGTTTGCTTTAAAAATAACATCATCATCAGCCTAATTTTGATACTAATGGTGAGATCTGAATGATGACCTTGTTGTGCCCTGATTCTTCCATCCAAACGATTGTTTCTATAAAAAAAACCTCAAAAGAAGCACCAGATCTGGTCACCTAGTCAGATCTTGCCAGCGTGCACTCATGTCTTTATCCTTATCTGTCTTAGTTCTCCCACCTTCAGTCGGGTTGGTGAAGACCTCTTTCGGGATGTAGAGCTTGTCCTCCGCTGTTCTGGCCCAGTCCTTCATCCCTCTCCGGCCCTTCATGGGGAAGTTGATATCACTGGAAACTGCTGACACCGGCTCTCGTTGGATGGTTATCACTGGACAAACAAGAGATACCAAAAACACTTGAAACTCACTGCAGTGCAAAATTGAGGTTGGGGGTAAAGATAAGGTAAGCAGAAAACGATGAAAACAACAGTGCAAAAAATGCCCACATTCAAAAGCCACTGAGTCATGTTTACCGTTAAAATTCATAGATCAGGCAAGGCAACAAGGGTTTGAAAGTGGAAATTGAAAGACATAATTCAGCAGTGGTTTCGATATGACGTGAAATATCTTGGCTGAGCTTACCATCTATAAAATATCTTGATAAATCAGTGTATTTAAATATAAAAAATTGGTGTGAAATAACATTTTAATCTGCATTTGCCACGTGGCAGCATTGTGTGACACCTACTGAGGTTGTTGGTAACCACTAAGAAACTCTGGAAAGGCTTCTGGGCTTCTCCGATGAGGTGAATGAAGTCTTCTAATATCCTCATCAGCAAAGCAGCACCGGGAGCGACCTGTGGACGGAGGGATGAAAAGGAGAGGCGAGCTTCAATCACGATGTCATCTTAATTATAATCTGTGGCCGACTTTCAATGAGACGTGAAAGCCATTGACACATTTTTATTCCCTACATTATCTAGACCACTAAATGCAACCACGTGGGTTTTGATATCATATTCGGCGGCTTGTTTATTGGGTCCAGATGGGAAAGTAAACACACCTCAGCTCAAGGGCATCAAGCTGGGTCACACGCAAAAAGTGCACAAATACACACACACACACACACACACACACACACACACACACACACACACACACAGTATAATTAATAGGTAGCCAGTGTGTTTAGTAAACAGTTGTGTTTTTATGGCTCTAATGAATAGTTAATGTGGGATGTGGTCACACCCACCTTTCCACCCAAATTCACCTATGCACACTTAATGCGCAATTAAGTTAAGAAACTTGTTATAAAGAAGAGATGTGTAGACGCACAGTAACACACGTACACACACATATATAAAAAGGCTTTACCTGGTGAGCGTCCTCCCATTTTTCTACATTTTCCATGTCCAACATGTGGCTGACTATCTGGAAGAATTTCTAGACACAAGATGAAGACATACTCAGTTGTTAATCCAGCAGGGCCTCTAAAGTCTGGAATCTTACTTGTGTGTTAGCCATGGCTCCTATTATGTTGCTAACATTCAAATCTAGAACAGTAGTCATCTGTACATAGGCATAATGTAAAACATAAAATCCGTCAAATGACTGACAGAAACGGGAGCATTTTGCTCCTTTACCGGCGGTGAAAAGAGAAAAACTCTGCTAAAAAATCCCCTTTGAGGCCACAGCGACTGTGTCGCTGTAGTTCATTGTTATGCACACCCCGTGTAGTATAAATTGGAGCTTCTACGTTGAACACATTTGCAGGCAACGCAACTGTGTCTGCAACTGCTCGTCTTGTATGGTTTGTGACTTGAGGGGGCTTCGAAGGAGAAGGCTCTGCTTACCTGCACGTCGTCGGGAGCTGGGATGTAGGTTGCTCTTTTGAAGGTGTCCGTCACATTTCGCAGAATCTCCGTGGAAAAGAGAAGGTCGCCACTGTAGTAGCTCCTCCTCTGCAAGAGCTCCAGGAGACTCCTTACGATCTGAGACATGCCCTCCCCAGCCAGGGTCCTCTGACCCTTCGCGAGATGCTCTCGTAACTACAATGTGCAGAAAGTAGCAGAAATTTAATGCATGCCCATTGGTGCTTACTGTAATACATTATTCAGAAAGTGAAGCTGGTAAAAATGTCAGAAACAGCGAGACCAAACAAACCAAAGATTGTGTTTTTTTTCCCAAAGAAATCACAGGAATGTTTTGGATGTGAGCCGAGGGGGATGTTTCAAGACAGGAGTATATATGTACATGGTTGGATCTCAGTGCTTGTGCTTAAAATAGGAAAGCAAAAAGAGGCCTAGCAGCACTCTCAGGCAGGAATTGGATCTCATCACTTCAGAGACAGAGATACACAAAGCAAGATTGTGTGTGTGTGTGTGGGTGTGTGTGTGTGTGTGCATGAGAAATGCAAAAAAAGACAGACAGAGAGGGAGAAAGAGCCTGAAAGAACAGAAGATAACAGCAATCACAGAAAATTAATTATTGACTCCTGGTGTTAATGAAAGGTTGGAACAGAAGCTAAGAGTGCAATCAGCTCTTTCACGCACAATCCCTGACCCCCATCTCCTTCCACCATAATCGCGGAGATGGAAAAGGTTGAAGTTCATAGAGTAGGAAAACAGTCTGGCTGATTAATACATTCATTAGCTATGTTCATTAATTGATAAGTGTGAGCTTCTGGAAAAGCTAATTAGAGATACCGGCAAGGCTTGAGCAAAGACACTCCTGTATTTTGAGTAAACTTTTATAAAATAAAATAAAATAAAAAATTGAACAGAGGCACATGCTGGGTGAGAAAGGGGAAAGCGAGGCAGAGACTAACTTTTAAAAACAGATGGAGCCTCCACTTTCTCATAAACTCACTAATGAGACAGACAAGTTTGATGAAGGTGAGTTATGATAGAGGGTGATACTGCAACTAACTAGCTCAAATGATGAAATCTGGAAGAATACAACAATATTTTTTCATTCTTGCTGAAGATGATGAAAAAAAATGTAGAAAGAGTTTCTGAGTTTGGGAGAAGTTTGTTTAAAGGAGACTTACAGATAAATGTAAATATCTATATTCAAGTGAGACGCATCTGGCGAAGCTCGGAGGACCCCAGAAAGCAACTCCATTATTGTCCAGCATGCAACGACGACTAGCAGATCCTAAAGGAAAAGAGAGAGAGACAAATACTTTACCTGCACAAAAACACATATGAATCCATTACTGTCGTGTTAATACGGGGTCAATTAATGGTCATACAACTGCTGCTGGAGAGATTTCATATCTTATAAAACATATTACTGCCAGAAGTACATAAATAACTTGCTTCCATTGTAAAACATCTCACATTTATCACATTAAGGTCATACACAGGGTGTCTGCATTTTAACACATAGGGGAAAATCACAGCACATTTACAATATTTCCACTTATGAAATAATAAAAACAAATGAATTTATTGGCCTTTTCTTGGAGTAAAATATAATTTTAGTTGAATTGTTACAAGTACCAAATATTTCATGTGTAGCAGTTCTACATTGTTTGGCAGCTCATACCTGCTGGCTGGTCTAACCTGGCAGCCAGCAGATAAACTGGTGAAGGCTGCCAAAATACTTTACTAAGACAAAACATTTTTCCTAGCCAAATAAATATACACTTTCTGAACTCTTGCTCTGCTTTTTTATGAGTAATAGATTGACATGAATGAAGTGTAAAGATTTTTTTATTAATTTAATTAGTGCTATCAGTTTAAAGTGTTATTAACGACGTTAAAGCAAACCCATTTTAATAGTGTACATTTTTTTATCTCGAGATTAATGCCTAGCACACTTTGTAGTTCTTTTCACATGCTGTTGCGACAACTAGTAACGTTAGAAAAACTACAACACCACACCGGATCTAGCTAGACCGGAAACAAAACAACAGGCACGCCGCACACACTCTTAAGAATAGTAGACGTTACGTTTTGAGTGGATGGCGAGCGTGAGACGCCAAAATGGATGGATTCCTTGTTGTCTGAAAATGTCAACAGGCTTGTCTGTTTGAGTAACTTAGTAACTTAACTTTGAGTAGGCTTACCTCTTATTGGTAACTGTTACTGTTCATTCTTTCTGAAATAAGAGGCTGGGTTGAGCCTCTGGTGAATAAAGAGCAGTAGCCTGACTGCTATGTTCAAAGCAAACTTGAGGAAAGCATTAAGCCATGGTTTAACTGCACTATAGGCTGAGTCCTAGTTTACCTTACATGTGCACTTTGTAATTTTATTTTGTATTGTCCTGTTTTGATCCCTTACGAAGGGGCTGTTGAAGGGGCTGTTTGTGTGACAGAAGTATTTTTTTCACCCTTTTAATGATGGACAGTGTTACATTGTGTGAGAGGTTATTTACTCCAAGTGAGAATGTTAGTGTGAAATTGAACACTACAGTATATGCCAATGTTGTTTTCAATAAAAACAACATTTGCACAAAGCAAGCCGATCCACTTTTCCATGTTGATAAGAGCATTAAAATGAGAAAAAAGTAATGGGACAAAAAGAAATCAAGGGACATTTAAAATAGATAAAAATGTGCGATTAATTGCGAGTTAACTATGACATTAATGCGATTAATCGCGATTAAATATTTTAATCGTTTGACAGCACTAAATTTAATACATTGATTTACCTTCAGTGCAATGTTCTTTAAGCTATAACATTTTACTGGCAGGCAATCTGATTCATGCAGTTTTGCATGAATCAGATGTAGCGTGCGTTTTGATGTCGGAGCCAATGCCATAGTTTGAAAAATGTAGAAACAAGTTTATATTACATTCATCCTGAACCACATCTGCTCTTGGCTTAAATTCTGTCTGGGAAAAAAAAGAGTCTGAAAAATAAAAATCCAATTCTGTTCTTATTTGTGCTTTTGGAAGTAAAAAGAAAAAGGTCTTGCAACCAGCTATTTGAGAAACTCTGCAGTTTAGATTAACATCAGAGCGATAAGTAAAACACAAATAAGGTTTGAACGCATTCAAGCAGGGCATGTCTGCTGTACTAATTAAAAGGTATACGCTGGATAATGCACGAGTTGGAAATGCAATAATGATTGCTTCTGCATACTGAAGCTCCAAATAGTAACACAATTTATGGACAGCATGATAAGCCTTAGACATGAATTTCAGCATTTAAATCAACATGAGCACCTATTTCTTCCAGACGTAGGAGCGGTATTAAAACAGTACAGTAATTACTGATATTATCATTATAATTTAATCTATGATATAATGTTTTCTTTAGCACTAATTAGATCATTGCTGTTGTTCTACTGTGTTTCCTCAGAAGTCACTTGACTGTCAAACATTAGAAGCGGTACATTATTTTCTTAAGTATTTTTCTACAGGTTCATTTCTTTCTCTTCCTTTAGCTATGCTATGCTTAGCATGCTAACTATTGGGTGCTTATGTTACGTATGTTCATGGGAGTGATTAGATCTGCTCCTGCTGGACATTTTCTATTGTTTTCTTCCCATGGATTTTTTGTTGACTACAGCTCTATTTGCATGGGACTAGTAATACCTGGGCAGTATGGGCCTCTAGTAATTTATAATATTTGTGGAAGTTGTTGTTTGGTCCCTGGTAATACTACTCCTTTGCGGATAGGGCTTTAGTAGGAGTTTCTGTATGTTCTCGCTGCTTATGCTAACTACCGGGTTCATGGAGCTAACAAACGTGTTGTTAGCTTGTTGGTCTCGTTAGCCCTTTTATAATTTCTCATTTTTTTCTGTAAAAACTGTAGTTAGCTCTACTCGTGCTTACTACTTGGTGATAATTCACGGGTTTAACTAACTTTTGTTGGTTCTGATAGACCTTTTTTGCGTATAGGATATTTTCAAGTTTGTCCTCCCCTCAAACATCGGTTTCTGTAGATTCTTTCTTTTCTTACTTTAGCTTGCACTGCTAATGCTAACTACTGGCCGCTAATGTACATTCGTAACATACTTATGTTGCTCTGTTGGACATATTTCAGTCCTGTTGGATATTTTCTAAGTTTTCGTTCCTTGGATTTTCCTAATTAAGTTAATTAACGGCAGGTATGAGTTTTATTCTTTTCTTGTCTTACTTAGCTAGCACTGGTTTTGCTTACTACAGGATGCTAATGTACTCCTGAGCCTAAAAGACTTAACATAAGTCACTTCTGTTGGACATGTTTTTAGTCCCGTCGGACATTTTCTAAATTTTTCTTCTTTCTTGGATTTTCTGTTGATTAAGTTTGAGTTTCTGTAACTTCTTTTTTCTGACTTTAGTTAACATTTTCTGACGCCAGTTTATGACTGCTTGATATCCAATCCAAGTTTCTTTTATGAACTGGCTACAGTTTGAGCCACTGTAGTATTGTGTAACGATGAAAACTCCAGGCCAAACAGAATCACAAATTCACTCACACAAGCTGTGTCGGAAATATAATGATAGCAAACAGATAGTGGCCAAAGCAAAGTATGTAACTGACCAGTGGCGTTAGTTGGACACTTGTTGTAGACCGTTTCCCCAGCTGAGGCTCTCTTCCATGACATAGAGAGTAGGTGCTCGTCTTTACATATCTCATGAGGAGCTGCAGAAGTAGATGAGAAATAGACAGAAAAAGTGAAACGAAGCACAGTCTTGCAGGCACACAGAAAAAGAAAAATCACCACGCACACACTCCCACAGACACATACATAGCCAGCGAAAAAAGAAAGGGAGCAGAAAAGCACAAAAAACAAGATACAAATCAATGTTCTCCTGCAGCAGCTCCCAATCTTATTCCCTTGTACATTGCTCAGTGCTCTCTGTCAGTGTCACTGCCTCAGTACAGTATCTCATTCACTCTTCATCTTACTCCCTCTCTTTATTCATCTGTTTTCCCCCCTCCTCCTCTTTCATAACCCTGATGAAAAAATGGGGGAGAGCGTCTGAAGATATTCCGAGGGGGCAGACGACTGTTGGCAGAGGCGATGCAGAGAGATGAAGAGGGACGGAGAGCAAGGAGAGAGAAAAAGAGACGCAGAAAGAGAGAAAATATGCTATGATGTTCCCCTGCAATGCCAACAGACAAGATCCTCGCCTTGTGTAAAAGAGGCTTGAGAGCTTCTCAAAACAAAGGGGTACTGGTGAAGGCTGCACTCTAACGTTTATCATTTGTAGCCTGTCAGAGCTCAGCGCAAGCACAAACACGTGGCATTCAGGCTCGTATGAAAAATTCGCCTGCATATTCACACGCACACACGGCTTCAGTCAAGAGGCTTTCTTATTAAACAACACTGTTCCCATCAGTGGCTGACACTCTGACATTGAACATCTCACCCTCTGTCAGGCAGAGAAACACAGAAAGCAGGCAAGAGAAAGCGAGCGAGATTAGCGCGATAAAAACAATGTTAAAGGGGAGAGATGTGAGAAGAAATTGAGTATCTCTCAGGTAAACAGAGGATAAAAGAAAAGCACCACAAGGCAAGGACATGCAAAATCAATGAAGAGGTAAAGATGGATGGGTATTCGAATTGACAGGAAGACAGACAAGAGACAGATAAAGATGAGAAGAGTGCGGTTCTGAAATTGCGATAGAAGCCTTCGGCTGTGGTGCGAACCACTGGGAATCACTTCCAATCTGCCTGACAAATACTGTGCATATGCAGATTGGGCACACATACACACACACACACACACACACACACACACACACACACACACAGATACACACACTCTTTTGTCTGTGACAGGGATGCACTAAGAGAGGGATGGAGAGAAATGCAGCCACACAGAAAACTAAAATGTGTAAGGCAAAAAAGTGTTTATACAGGCTTTTCAAGCACGAATAATATAGACATACATACTTTACTTCTCCCTCATTTATTTTCTAAGCTCACACACACACACACACACATATATACATTCACAAAGTCACTGACCAGGGCATTTTTTCTCATTACAGGACCGGACTTCCTCTCCTGAGCCATCGCAGGGGTAGCCCTGTATTCCAGTGCCCTCACACATCCTGAAGCGGCGTTGCCAACCGGAATCACACGTCTTGCTGCAGAGACTCCAGTGGTTCCAGCTGCCCCAGTTACCTCCACCTACAACGGGAACAAAGCGCCGGCGGTGAAGATTAGGGAGTGGGGAGGTGAGTGTGGGAGGGAACAAGAGCGGCATGTAAGGTGAAAAAAAGGAACGGCAGTTGTTGATGAGTATTAAATTTAGGTTACAACTTCAAGGCTGCAGTTTCTAAACTTTTCATCTACTTTTAAGCGTGGTACCAAAATTAAGTCAATACGGGGCCATTCTGGGGCGCGAGTTCATTAAAACACTAGTATTTTTGTCCTCTGGGGCGCCAGTCTAAACAGCCTTGTAAGCCAAACTGGGTCCCAGCGAGAGAAGAATGAGAGAAGACCCATACAGATGCCTTCGGATATTGCCTACTCCATGTTTGCATAATGGCGTTTGAGAGCAAGTGAGCGTGCATACTAAGCGTTCATTTGTACGCCTTACCACTGCAGGAAGGGTTGGTGCATTCTCTGCTCTCCTGATGAAGGCCCTTACATTCAGCCCAGCCGTGCACCGACGCACTGCAGCGCCTCTGCCTCTCCTGGGTCCCCGTGTTACAAGTCACACTGCATCCCGACCACGGCCCCCACTCCAACCACTGGCCCTCCACTGGAGTGATGGAAGTTAGATATGGGGAGACAGGGAAATGGATGAAGGCGGATGGGAAGAAGAGTTTGAGAGACACATGAAAATCAGGATAAATTGATCCAGATTTTTTGAAGCATAGGAAAGGGGATGTAAGAGGAAAAGGGGGAGAAAAAGAAGACACCGAGCAGAGAAAGTGAGTAGGCTACAAGTAAACAGAATATAGAATGAGTTTGGACGGAGGACAAATAAATTACAGACGGCTACTTGGTTTTCCATAAATAGCAACAAACAAAAAACGCACTTCATGGTTTCTATGGACATTTTAAATATTTCAATCTGTTATGAAATAGCTGATTACAATTCCTTTCATGCTTTGTTTTTAAGAGTTCATGCAGAGTACATACAGTCAGTTGAATTTTCATTCAAAGTGTTATTAGAAAGGCACCACATTTCAACTCTTGCCTGGTATTTGTGCAGAAACAGATAAATAAAAAATAAAAAGACATTTCAGTGCAATCTAGTATTGCCTGTCAGACGCAGATGAATACCAAATAGCTTACAGCCTGATGATATGTACAGGTCTAATCAAAGCCCCCACTGTCCCCTTTAGTAAGGGAGTGTTGCTGGGGTAATTGAATTGTCAAATAAAATATGCAAAATTCAAAAAATTATGATAATCCAAAACAGGCAGATTAATCATTTATAGTGTGTGTAGTCAAAGATTTTTGTTATGTCATCAACTTCAAAGCTAGTAATAATTTTGAGGATCTGTGTCACAGAAAAGAACACAATGTTCAACTGTGGAATGGGCAGATGAAGTGTCAGTGAATACTTCTGCATACATGGTTTTTAATCAGAACTTGTTTTAACCAAAACTTTACATGAGAACCGATTACTGACCTATGAAGTGCCTTTCTATTTCAGAATGTTGTTGAATAAAAGGGACTCGATATCACATTGTTTCAACAGTTGTTGCTAGTTTCTAACAATTGCCAAAACCTTGGAGACAATTAAATAAAATAAAATAAACCAAGTATTTCATCAGTGAACACTGACCCCGCACTGGGTATATTTTTAACTCACTGTTTTTTTAGCGCGGAATGAAAGCACACTTTGACCCCGAATGGTCAACAAATATAATATAATATAATAATGCATCTGTATACGGTTTAACTGTATTATTATTGGTTATCTTGAGGGGATAATATTTAAAGTTTTACTTGTAGCAGTAGTTGAAGAGCCTTTTGTATTATTGTAATAACTGAAATGTAAACTGTTATTCTCAAATAAATGATTTGTGCTTTCTCCATACTACTGTCACACAAACACATATTCAGAGAGGTAATAATTTGAACAAGGAACTGATACAATTCCTCCTGCTCTTGGCAGCAGTGTCACATACGTCTTTAATGTTCCTCCAGCTGGATTACTGCTGTAGACTTAAGCTATGCTCGTCCTCCAAAATATACTGAAATGTTAAAGTATAAACCTAATCAAATTCATATGCTGAACATGTCGAACAGCAAGCTATGGATTATGAACACATCCAGCAGAGCGAGAGCAACATTAGCGTCTCTAACATTGACTTTTATTTTAGCCCTGATTTGGTTTCTACCAACTCTTGACGGTAATATCTGGCTCTTCAGCCGCTAAATGCTCAACTGTGTTCACCATCAAGTTGCTACTTTGTCTGCTATTTAGTGGTGGGCAAAAACAGCTGCCTGCTGCTGCAGGTGAAGAGATTGATTAAAACGGGACTCATGAACCGAAACATTAAAGTTGCGAGCTGTAAAACCAAAACAATGAGCTACAACACTCCATAGAGCTGAGGGGAGCAGAGCTGGTTGAGAATTCTCTGTGGGTTTATCACTACAAGTGACACCTTTCATATTAGATAAATTGTTAATATAAAAATATTGTGTAGTGCAGCTTTAAATTTTGATTACAACTAATACAGTTTAAAGTTTAATTATTATTCAATCACTTTAATGTAACCTTCAGACAAGCTAAGCTGATGTAGGAGTCATATTTTTCTGTCTAGTGATTAATCTGGGCTAAAAAGAAATACATTATGTATGCTCTTATAGTTACAGCGACAAAGTATTTTTGAATGTGATTAATTACTGTAAGTAAGGGCAATGCTAACATTTAATCACATAAATTTTAAGAGGCTATGATACGGAAAAGGAAACCTGTCTTAACAGCCGTTCAACTGTCAGTTGAGGCTGCATAGCTATTGTGTGTATGTGCTGTAGGACTTTACAGTAGCCTGTCAATTTGTCTTTATATTAACAAGAATAGCGATTCAAAGTGAGAACTGTTCTTGTTTCGGCTCAGAATGATATATTGAGGCACACATTCTGTACACATGGGCTTTAAGTAACAGAGAAAGTGAAGTAGAGTGCAGTAAATGTATTTGTCTGCTTCTCCCAAGTGGGAAAGCATTGCCAACTCTCCTTGGTAATGTGGTCAATCACGCTGTGTGCGACTCGGACAGCGTTCCAACTAGCTGGGGCCAACACTGCGTTGGGGATGATGTACACAGAATGAGCTGTGTACTAGAACTTAAGTGTGAATATGACATTTTCAAAGTCCTATTCCGAGTAATTAAAGTGACATGTCGAAAAAACAGCTTCCAAAAGAACATTTTGGATGTTTTGATTTATAGACACAGGGCACACACACAATTGCACAAAATGAGTGGAAAAAAAATAGAGTGGGTGCTTAGGAGCCTGTGGAAAATGAACAAAACAACACATTTACAGGCAAATTTGTGCGAGAGGAACAAAATTACATTAAAATAGTTCCGATAGTCAGCAGAAACTACTGTATCATGTTCCACATACCGTATATGTAGACATTTCCCAGCAGATAAAATGTCACCAAACACACACACACACACACACACACACACACACACACAAAGCATATTTACGTAGGAACCCAGCATGGCAGCTCTCTTGTAGGAAGCAGTTTTCTTGCCAAAGCTGAAAACTATTAATTTGCATGTAATTAAGACATAGCTATTTATCCCTGTGTATGCTTGGCTATGAACTGACTGTTAACATATCGTGGGGAGAAAAAAAACGTAAAGGCAATTTCCTGCCAGCTCTCTGCGTACACACGAGTGCCTTTTAGTTCTTGACGTTCGCTCTGAAAGGTCTGATATGATCAAATCAATTATTCAGGTATAACTGTTGATTGTCTTTAGTTGATGCAGCAGCTGTCGCATCAACATTTGCAGCTCTGCCCACAAAGTCATGCATTTGTTTGATGTGTGAGCATAGCACGTGTCCTCATAAGAGATAAGCCACTGTGAAGAGAGGTGTGGAATTACAGTAAACAAATAAATTCAAGCTGACATTGGTTTAACATTTAGCATAGACAGTGTAGAGCATGCTGTATAGTGCAGTATATGCTCTGAATATATGGTTTGCAGTGAGATACATAGAAAGAAACATCGCACACACACACACACACACACACACACACACACACACACACACACAGATATACACATACACACATACACACAGACAGGCGAGATCCATCAAAGGTCTATTCTCTATGCATGGACTTTGTGCCAAAAGGCCTATGCTGGTATTCATCATTTCAAAGGACCATTGCCTTTGAACTCCCAAAAGCACGCTGAATCTGTTGTGATAGGGTCACAAACACATACACACACACACACACACACACACACACACACAAATACATAAACCATATGAAGACACGCATACACAGATTTCCTTAAGGCCCCTTGAAGGACGAGCCTACCCTTTTTCCCCAAACCCCCTCTTTCCATCACTGTTCCCAAAACAGCATGGCAAAACATCCCAGAGGCCATGCTTTAGATTACAACGTCTCCCTATTCCTCCCTCTTTGAGACATATCTTTGCAGCCTCTTTGTCTCGCAATGGGGACAGTTTTGTTTTATTTAAATATTAACCTTATAAAAACCCCTGCTTTGAAAAGCATAAAAACAAGGCAAAAATAAATAATAAAAAAATAAAAAAATAAAAAATGGAAGTCAGAAGGGAGGGCGAGAACACAACAAAAGTCTATAGCCCAGACAGGCAACAGCAACATTCACGTATCATTTAGCAGGGGGAAAATAATTCAGGATTATTTGCCTTAGCAATAATAAATAAAGAGCACTTACCCTGTGATAATTGCTCTGCCTGTGAGTGATTACATACGATATAAGCACACACACTCTCACTTGGACTGAAATCAATTCCAGAATAAAAAGGTTATTATTCAGAAAACAGCCACCAATTTTGTTTTAAACTGTCTTGTGTTTTAGTGTCTGTGCATCAATTAATACCAATGTTCCAACGTAATGCAGAAACTATTTATACCCTGCCAACATAGAAAGCATGGAATAAATTAAATTACTGAAATGAATAATCCTTTCTAATGTCAATGCTTTCAAAGTTAGTGGTTTTCTAAAGGGACACTTGAAATACAAAATTAAAATTGCAGAGACAATGCAGAGGTCGTAAGTATACTTTAAGTCTTAAAACAAACATCAAAGGCTTTTCTTTTTCTTTATGCCAGACTTAAACCATATATAATAAGTATGGTACTAATATGGTAAGTATTTACATCTCAGAAGATAAGTTGATGTCTACATCTGAAAATGCTCTGTGATAGGTTAGTTGTCAAAACCGGCCCCCTTTTTTTCTTCAGAGTCTGCTCTATTGAGACGTTATTTCAATCACAGGTCGATCCTTCCACTCCAATGGGAACCTGATAAAGACGTTTCAGCTGGACAGTCTCAGCCAGATTGGAATAAAGTCCTGAGGTACCCTCAACACCAGAGCACAGGTGACTTATAGCTGTCCTTGACAAGGTATAGGCCTAACAGGTTATCTCAGAGACAATGGCGGAAGAGCCCGGCTGCAGGACTGCTCAGTAATATAAACCAAGCCAACCATGGAAGAAGCACAGAAGGCCAGTCTAAAAGGCTTTGCTAGGGTACGATCCTTCAGGATGGCTGGGTGAGTTTGAAAAGTGGGCATAGCTGACCACAGATGAACATGAAACTGGAAGTGAGGATAGTCTAGGGAGGATACAGAAGTTAAAGCAGAGACCATAAGTAGGCAGGAAATGTGGGGGTGATGCTGCATTCACGCCTTGTCAGCAGAACGGGAAGAACGGTAAAAAGTTACCAATATTTCGAATTGGAGGGCTCATACATTATTCCAAATTGGTTGAATGGAAATTAAGCCCATAGTAGCCCGTTCATTATTGCTTTTGACGTCATCATTTCACAGGCATTTGTTAAATATATATACTTAAATAATATAAAAAGTTTGGCGACTACTCGACTTTTGGCTTGAACTGACATCTATGAGTCGACTAGGAAAGTCATTAGTCGGGGACAGCCCTAGAAAGCATTAATATGTGTACCAAAGTTTATGGCAAGCTATTCAATATAGTCAAAATAATTCACCTCAAACAACAAATGTCAACCTCATGGTGGGGCTGGACAAAGTCCATTAACGTCTATACAAAATGTAATGGCAGTCCTAGCTATTACATAGCTGTTGAAATATTTCAACGTCTGGACCGCTAAAGCGTGAATTCAGCATTAGTTCACATTCTACCAGAGGAGAGAGACACTTGATCACTACAAGAGCTATAATGGAAGAACACAAAATATAAATGCATGTAAATTCAAGAGCTGTGAAAGTTAAGTTTTGTGATTTTTATGTCATGCTTGAATAGGCAGAGAGTCCAAGAAAAGAGAGAGTGGGTGTATCATGTAAATGGGGATGGTACTAACCAGGACACACTGCTATGTTGCAGAGTTTGGTCTGAATGTCGGGCCGTCCACAAGCCACGGCCCCGCCTCCGTTCACACACTTCCTGGTTCGCGTCCTGGAGCCCCGCCCACAGGTCACAGAGCACAGACTCCATGACGACCACTCCTCCCACAGCCCATGCACTGCAAACACCCACAGAGGCGGGCACAAACACACACACAACGTGGGGATGAGGAATGAGGGAGGGAGGGAGGGAGGGGGAGGGGGGGGGGGGAGCATCTCATCGCAGGCAAAAGGGTTAGAGAATGAGAGAAACATGAGAGATATTAAATGAGTTGGAGCACATTCCATAAAAAAAAACAAAAAAACATGAAGGAGGTGACCTTCTGACCTCCACAAGAACATTCCAGTTACAAAAGAAAAGAAACACTGAGAATGAAGCTGTACCAACATGTTACTTCATGAAAGAAAATGGATGTTAGGAATGAACACTCTGGCATTTGAAGTCATGCAGTAATGCAGCTCGAGTCATGACGAGGAAATGAATGTGGTATGTTTGCTTCTGAAATAATTTGAGCTTTCAGTTATTATATACAGTGAACCAAATGATCCAAAGACTCTAATGACTTCAAACACTTCAAACACCAATTAAAACATTAGAAATGCTCCCCCCCCCCCTTTTTTTTTTTTTTATTGCACATCTCATCCCATTTTAGCAACAGATGAAGTTGAAATAAATCAAAACAGAATAAATGAGCAGTGGAGCTGCACGAAAACTTTGCAGATAATGAACGCGACTTCAAGACTGCTCTTGTGATGCAGCTCTACAGAACGCTGGTTCCTGCAAGAATGTGCCTACTTGATCTGTATTTCAGCTATGTGACAGTGGCAGGTTGTGTGTCATGTAAGAGACACACGGATATGCACGCACATGCACAAATGTAATTGCTGAAATCATTTGGAGATGTCTGACCTGTGATTAGAGGGAATAATGATAGTAGACACAGGGAAAAGAATGCCCAAGAAATATTCAACGGGAGACTCCAAAGAAGGAAAAGATGAATGACAGGACCGGTTAATGAGTGTCAAGAAGAGAGAGAGATAAAGAGAATAAAAAAACAGATGACAACGTGACAAAAAGAGGAGATTATAAGCAAATTCGAAAGAACACACAAAGTTTGAAAAGACTTTGGAATGAAAAACAGATGTCAAGAAAGAGAGGAGGTTAAACTATATTGAAAAAGAAGGAAGAAAGAGAGAGGAGCAGATTTAGAGACGTGTTGGAAGAAAGCAAAAAAGCAAGATACTGGGGGGGTGCAGAGAGGGAGGGAGAGAAAGTTGGAGACAGCAGGATGGAGATTGCTGGTCCTGTGTTGAGCAAAGCTAAATAAATCATGGCAATAAATAATTAAGAATACTCTGTGAAGGAAGGCTCAGAGGAGCATGAGTAGAAGGCTGAGACAGAGGGAGAAGACGGTGGCATTAAAAAGTACAGAGATATGGAGAGCTGGTAAATAGGGATATACCCTACCCCAATGTGTCTTTGAGCTGCTGTACAAAGTGGCTATATGTTGCAAGAGAAGCAGAGAGAAAAAAAAAGGGCTGTTTCCACTGATACTATAAGCATTTGTGTCGCTTCTTGTTACTGTACGGTTCCTTTTAATGAAATGCTTTTTCAAGTAAGCTCATTTGTGGGCCTCGCTGAATTGAATTCGCTTGCACCAGTTGTTCTTAAAGGAGTCTAGTTATAACATAAGTGTTTAGTAAGTAGAGATATAGGGACAACTAAACTTAAACGGGGGATCCACAGCATAACCAAGAGCTCGTGTAGAGATTGGTTGTTATAAATTGCAGTGCGACCGCTGCATAGCTTTAACCAAACCAGCTGAGAGAGCTGTAACATTAGCTTGCAAAATATGTAATATGGTCAGCAGAATGGGGAGGTTATAGGCAAAATTTTGTGTTTGTAAAACAGAATAAAAACGCAATACCACTCAAGTTACAAAAGTTATACCAATAACATAGACCAAATGACCGAATAGCAAATACTGTCTGTGTTTTTACACATTACTTAAGTCTTTTAGCTTTTACTGGTGCAACCACATGTGGAACTATAAAGTAGTTTCTAACCCTTAACAAGAACTTTACACACAAGCTTGTTGCAGTTGTTATGGATTTGAAGGGTACTTTAAAGCAGCGGATGACTGATGTAGTGTATGTCTGTAAGTATGTCAGCCAAAATATTTTGGTATCAAGCATGAAACAAGGCTTTTTTCCCCGAAAAAATATCAAATTGAATAAATCACGATAATAATAAAATATAACTGGCATCCTCAAAGTGTAAGCAGATTTCTTGGGGGTATAGCTCATTCCAAATTTCAAAACCTTCTCAGGAGACTCCAGAACTTGATGCAATAACAAGCAGGAGGAAAGCTAAACAAATACAATCCAGCCAGAGTTCTGTTATTTAGCTTTTTTTTTCTTTTACAACACTACAGGATTGCTTGTAAGACATTACTTATTCATCTGAATCGAATTTCCATCTCTCAAACCCAGTACGAGTGTATCAGAAGTCTGACTGTGCAAAGCCAATCAATTTGCCTATAACATCAAGCTTGAAGCAGCTTTGGGACTAAGACCTGTTAAGAGGAGAAAATATCAATTGGAGATGGGGACAATGGTAGGAAACATACTGAAGCAGATAAGCAAATGAGACTATAAAACGTGACAAAAATCTCCTCAGACACTGGGATAAAGATTGTATTACACCACCTATTGGTGACAAAGTAAATACAAGTGATTTTTCTAGTCATAAACCAAGCAGCACAGGGCAATTATATCAAATATGCTGTCTATCTTGACACCACCAACTGCATTAACATAATACAGCACATCTCTTAGTTCAGCTGAGCACATTAAAAGGGAGTTTATTGCCATCAGGGTTGCAGTCACAGAGGGAGGTGGAAAAGAGCATGTTTACATGCACACGGGGGAAAAAATTATTTAATAACAAACTGATCAGTGCTGATCAAACCACAAAGTGACAGATCTGTGTAACACCCGACCACAAAATCAAGTTCATGAACTCCTGAAATTCAGCTTTGTAAGAGGCAGATGAGAAACATGTAGCTTAAAAATGTGCAAACTAGGAAGCGCATAGACTCAGTAACACTGGCAGAGCACACATTCACAAAACCACAGAGAATAAGGTTCTATGTAATGAGGATGCATGGCTTCTATATATGCCTTTCAAATCTAAGCAATTATTAAATATATTTACATATAATGATGCACGGTGTATGAAGACATCAATTATTCATTTATCTCCATCTTTTGAAACGCTTAGTCTATAATAAGAGACATGCATCATATTGATCCTTAGAATTAGCATCATTACCAGCGATTGTATCTTGGGTCATCGCACAGCCCGGCTGCATTATTTAAAACTGTGTATGAGGATGTGTGTGTGTGTGTGTGTGTGTGTGTGTACGTTTATGTGTTTGCCATGACTTCATGGCCGCATCCTCGCATGCACACTCGGTCTTCTTGCTTGAATGGTTACTGGAAGTGTGGTGTTGCAGTGTTTGACTACGCACTGACCCAGACATACTGTATTCATAATGCACCATTGTTCCACTCCATGTTTTAAATGTCACTGAATCTATGGCAAATGAGCAGTAGCTAAACAGAAGAGCAGTAAGGGTACTACTTCATTTTGCACGCTTTGGGGCATGAAAGCCTTATACTTCAGTGCATAATATATAAAAAAAAAGGGAAAAAAAGTTAATTTGCCGGACCAATTACTGCCTAGTTTGCTTTGTCAAGAGCCAGACCATTACTTAAAATTGATTATCTGTATCACCTTAATTTAGGAGTTTTACCCATGAATAAATGTGGAGAAAAAAATGGCCGTTTTCTCTTCATTGGCTTTCTGTCCAAGCTACTTTTCTTTGATGTTCCCTAACTTGTGAAGACACACATACAAGCATGCACGGAGATGTGCCCAGAGACATATCCACCCACACTCACACTCATAACACACCCATACTTCTAAGGCCTAACTTGTGCACATACAAATAAATGGTAAAAGCAGAATAGAAAATTCTGGCAAACCCATCTACCCAATTAAGTATGCAGACTGCACTCTCCCCACCTCAGGGAGAAAGTGTGTGTTCACTTATGCCTGTGTGTATTTGTGGTTGTGAGTAAATGCATGAGCAACTTGGTCGGCCCACCGTTGGTCCACCGTGTCATTGTCACGTTTTGCCTCGCCTAGGCATCAAAAGTACAAAGTTTCTCATTACGCAGTCAAGTTAGCGCTAATATGTATGCAATGTTCGGTTTGACTTTCAAAATAAAGCCTTTTGAGAAACTTCTCAGGTGATTTGGTTAGGTAGAGGCACCATAACTACTTTTTTGGATTTAGGAAAAGATCTTGATTATGATCATGGATTCAAAATTAAGTATGTTATGTCAGTTAAGTTAAGTTAATTTATTTATGAAGGTTAAAATAAAATAACACTGACTGTTTCACACAGGAAATGAACCAAAGTGAGAGTCCTGTGTATGACCTATTTACCCACCCCAATCTTCTCTGTATGCAGACTTTGTCGCTCTTTATACCACGTTGGCCCCTGCTGGTACTGCACCTTCATACATGTGTGTACTTTCCACGTCTAGGCGAGGCAAAACGTGACACTAACACTGTATCCTCTAGTGAATTGGCAGGTGAGACTGCGTTGGCATGCGAAACAGAATATAAGATGTTGGATAAAACATTTCATTTGCAGATTTAAATAAATAAAGGGAGGTTAAATCAGGAAAAATTGTGATATTAGTGAGTGAAAGTCCAAATTACTGCAGTCCTGATTAGTATGTGCTTGTGTGTCTGCCTCTAAGTACTGTTCCACATGTTTGTTTATGACTCCCCATTGGACCCATGGGTAGGCAGGGCTTGATCCAACAGCAAAGAGATTAACAAATCAAACAAGCACGTGGATTCTAACCCAAATTAAGAAAAAAAGATTATTTAAAAAAAGTCAATCACATCAAGTTTATTAAACACTTTTATGTCTCTTTGCTACCGCCCCCACATTCCCAGTCTACATGAATTTGGTGTGATCCCATTCAGGCAGTCCCTGGAGTGCTGCTATATTCCCCCAGAACCACGTCAGGAAACATCAGAGGAGTGGGGGAAAAAAATGAAATAATAAACGGAACATAACACAGCAACCAATATTCCATCAAAGGAACGGCTGAGGATATTAATATCGACACTGAATGGAAAATGAGGCACTTAGACATACAAATCGCGTTGGCACATTTGCATAAAAACAAGATTAGCATATGCACCGACAGGGAAGGAAAATGTTCCTCTCGCTTCCCTCTTTTTTTTTTTAGTGGGTTTGAGACACATCAGTAAACACCGTCTGACTTCTACATCACACGTGAAAGTGTATGTGCGCTAAAAATGTGCACAATGACATTAACTCCATAGAAAACTCACAGAAATTCACAAAACTCTCACCCAGACGTACGGAAATGCAAACAGAACATCATAATTGTGTAACACACTTGCGGTGCACACTGAATTGCACCTAAGAAACTAATGACACCTAAACAGTGTTTAGAGCTAAAACAACACCTCCCACTTATGCCAGCACACACAACAAACAATAAAAACAACATATTAACATCTAAAAACACATCTTGTGCACATGGATACAATGACCCCGATGGCTGCTGCTTCCTATATAAAGTTCTTCACCCACTTACTTTTAAGCTGCTAGTAGAAAGGCCATGTCCAATAATGGGGCTCTAAAGCCCAATGACTGCACCCCATGATGTGACACTGACATTTAAACAGTAGTGGCCCCACTTTTGCTTTGAGTTATCTGTCCCCAGAGAAGTTATGGGCCCTGATTTTTCATTTCACAGTCTGCCCACAAACACATCATTGTCATTATTAGAATGGCTGTGGTTGGAGGACATTGGTGCCGTATTCCTGTGATGCACTTGCGTATCATTGGGTTCAGAGAGGTTAGCCTAGAGACCACGCCACTGTCTGCCAACCAGAATAGAAGGCCAATGTTTTCTTCCTCTCGGGCAGTGATGCAGACAATGAAGCCTTTTTTAATATGTTCCTTATACAGGCCCACGGTCAGTCCCCCATTGCTGTATCATCAGGGGGCCAGGACATCAGTGATCACTCCCTTTGTCATATTCTGGTGCAGACAGCTGGTGGAGTAGATAGTCTAATATCATGTCTGGCAAAGATTTGATTCTACTGAGTAGGCAGCAGGATTTCCATTTGTTACAGTGGAAAAATTGTGTCTTTTGTGTCTGGATAGTTATTAAACTAAACATGTGAACTGTAGGTAGCTTTGGTGTGGCCCATGTTGGCCTTGTGAAGGGGTTGTTCATCTGCTTTAGAAAGCCCTACCCCAGATGCAAGTCCTCAGGTTAAAGGGAAAGTCTTCCCTGACACAAACTTCGAAAGGATTGCACCAAGTTCACATCAAAATATGTGAGGCAAGATTTTCCACAAATACCATGTTGTTGGTGCATAGGGATATTCACTAAAGACAAACTAATAAAATCTTGCAGGAGGGTCAAGGAAGCAGCAGATAGATATGGACAATGGGGACATGGCAGCAGTTGGTTACACCACTGGACGACACATCCTCTGCAGTTTTACAGAGCGGCACTGAATTTTTTGTCATCCTCTGGTTGGGCTGAGCATTAGTAGCGGATTAGGAGAGGGACAGGCCAGACAGGAGGGAGCCAATGCCATCCAGGATTTCACTCCAATTGCAATCAGGGCAATCAAACCAGAGCAGGACTGGCAGTACTTCACAATTTCATCTAGTAAAATCCCACACCAGCAATCAAACTAGAGCAAAACTCACATTGGGTGAGCAGGTACACAAGTTGCCTCGCTGACTTGATCTGGCTTGACTGTCTTGTGTGTTGCTGAGAAAAAAAGGACTCCTCATTTTGCTCCTGCCTTTATGAAAAACTTTATTTAATTGGTTAAATATACTTTGAAGCTGCAGATGGATCTAAAATGAAACGCTAATTCCTCGGAAGCCGAAGTAAAAGTAGCTGTAGCTGTAGTTATCATTTTGAAGGTTCTCTATGCTTATCACTAACCGTTTTATATGTGAACACAGATTAAATTTACCTTCTACAGTTTTATCTGTGTATATGCGGTTATCTTAGTTTATATTGTAAATTAAAATATCTTCAGAAGTTTGTCTGCTAATTATGCTTTATTAGATTAGGTTTTTCTATATTACAGTATCTGTATAGGTAGACATTCCTATAGATATAAACAAGACAAGGGAAATGAGAACAGTGCTGGAAGCAAAGAGAAAGAGCAGAGGAGAGCTAAAGATAGAGAAGCCAGGAAGTATAGACCTCTGAGCTGTGGAAAGTCTAATAGACTTTCTGACATCGAGCTCAGGTGTCATGTCTGTCTCTCCGTGTCTTTCCCTCTCTCTCTCACTCTCAGCTGGCCAGTAGTGTGAACTGAAGTGACAAAATGACATTCTCATTCTGTAGGGTTTTTTTTTTTTTTCTGCTACACCATGGTTAGATTATGTTTTGGCTGAGGAGATCCAATGTGATGTGCGTGATTGTGTGTGCGTGTGTGAGTGTGCATACCACCTACCTTCTTCAAAAGTGACAGTGATTTTCACACTGTCATTATTTTCTCCAGCTTTCTTAACACATTGAAAGACAAAAAAAAAATGCTGCAAGGATGACTGCGGTGCTAAGCAGAGAGCCTATGGTTTAAAGCTGCATTTTGACTAATTTTAACTTTAGAATAACAAACCACAATTAGGCCTACAGTATGTTCACAAACTGCTGTGGAAAGTGCATTTGGTCATCATTCTGCAACACTGCTAAAGCTTGTTCATTTATTTACTTGACCTTTTAATCCCTACTCAGGGTCACAACGGCCAGGAGCTTATCCCAGCATGCACTGTGTGGAGGCAGGCACCCTGGAGAGGTCAGCAGTCTATCAAAAATTAAAAGTCATATCATGTCCCGCCTCCCCGTACACGTCTCCTGTGCATCAAATAAACTCCACATAAGTAAAGATTGAACCCCTCATCATTATTGCTGTAAACATACCTGAGCCTGTTATCCCAGGTTCACCTGGACAGGAAGCAGTGTTGTTGCACATGCGTGTTTCTCGCAGGGCGCCGCTGCACAGTGTCCCATAGGGAGAGGAAACACATGATCGCGTCCTCACTTGCCAGCCTTGCCCACATGTGAGAGAGCACACACTCCACTGCGACCACTCCTCTGCTGCAGGGTCACCTGAAAAGCCAGAGACAGAGATGGACAGAGGAAAGTTAACTCTCAATGATTCCAGTTTATTTTAAGCTGAATAGAAGACAAATGGTGAAGAGAAGGGGCATGATTAGTTGTAACATGATCACAGCTTTCTGGTTCCCCAGTTTAAAGAAAGAAAGAACAACTACAGGCTTTAAAACATCCTCAAAAACAGTGGGTGATGTGACAGGTGACACAAATAAACTGTCACATCAAGTAGCTAGCTTGGTCTTATTAAGTGCTGTAGGGAAAAGTGTTTTTTTTTTTTTTTGTTTCTGTCCACTAAATACAAACAAAAACCACATGGTTCATGTGCTTATTGACTCATAAGCAAGGTATCTGTATCCAAGCAGTCATACAGTAAAGAGTCACAACAGAGAAGTCAGAGTTGCAGGAACTATAAGGGGTTATGTATAACAATGAACTTGTTGGCTTTATTGATTGGATATAGGAAAGCATTGCTTATTTCTTATTGCTTATTGCTTATTGTTATCTATGATATTCCTGTAACAGTATACAAGTATGGGTAATAATTGCTTCAAGCTCCTTAATGCGAATGAACCTTGACTGAATACTCATAAGGATGACGACCCTGCTAAGGAAATGTGTTTTCAGGCAATATAAATATAAACTGAATTATGGTAACACGTGTGATCACACAGCTTTAAGCCAAAAAGGGTGGCTATAGATGTTAATAAAGTGGTACATACAGTAAGTACGCAACCATATATGTGTCTGTGTGTGTTCTCAGTCTGTAAGCAGCTGCAGCAGATTGGTTGTTAGAACCCATCTGAGGGTGATTTTGAGTTCTCTGGGCAGCTGTGGAGTGAGTCCCATTGTTTCCTTTGAGTTACGCCCTTGTGAGCGAAAACTAGAAGTTAAGTCATTCCGCTTCTCTCTCCCTAAATTGTTTATGAGCGCCGTGTCCTTTGATGGAGGCGTCATCACATGGCAAAGAAGGAAATCAAATTAATTGCATGTCCGTTAATCGCATTACATCTTCATTAACATGCCGTGAGTCAGGGCTTAAGCTCATCACACATGCCTGGAGGAATGGAAGAATGGGGAGAAGCAAGGAGGGGGAGAACAGAGGAGAAGGACAAGACAGAGCCAGGGGTTTCCCTCGCGGTATAGGGACTCCCTCCTCCACACGGTGGTAGCTGTGACTATGGAAACGTGTGTGTGGGGATGCATGTGTGCGCAAGCTCAAATTAGTATATGACCTATTGGGGTGCAGGGAAAGCAGCCAACATGTAATGTCATGTATGTAAAAGGCAGATTTCTCATATATACATGACATTCTTAATATGTTTAATGCATCATGTCATGAATAATTCAATCTTTCCTTTCCAACCCTATTAATTATGTAAGATTTTAACGTCGCACACACTCATGAGGCTACGCTTTCACATTTTCACACATGTGAATGGTCAACTATGGCAGCTGCCTCGGGGTCTTGCAACGCTTCAAAAGGTAAATGTACAATAATTATTTATATGGAACTTTTTATTTTCAGTTACACATACAGCTTGTAAAGGTCAAGTTGGCTACTTTTGTTCCACTGCAGTCACATACATGCTCTCTCTCACTCTCTCTTTCTCTCTCTCTCCATCAAGCACACACACACACACTCTCGATCGAGCACACACACACACACACACACACACACACAAACTCACCTGTTTGTGCCTGAAACACACCTGGCTGGTCAGCTGATCGTGGTCTTTGGGTCTTCACCTTCAGGTCATCGTCATATGGATCTGGAAAAGACAAATAGAATCTTCTTAATTGTTTTTAATATTCATATAGATACCATTGTATAGCCCGACATATGAGATCCAGCGAGAGGTGAAGATTATCCAAATACTGGCAAATGTAAGCCCAGTTTGTTTACTACATGTAATTCTGCAATAGCATACATATAGCTGGTTTTATAGCTATAGTAAATTAATGCTCATCAGCACCCACTGCTATTTTGTACATTCAAAGAAGTAAAAAAAGGCAAGTTTTTTAGTACATCCAAAACACGACTCTGGCAAAATAAAAATACAAACGCCTACATTTACTTGGCTTGCTCCGTGTAGCAGAATATTTTAAGAACATGCTGATACATTTCAGCACGCATCGTGCAGATACAGATAACAGAATGTCAAATCGGCAATATAATCTCAGAAAATCAGAAGGAAGTAAATTCTGACCGGCTCATTGGCTTAGAGGGAAAGCATGAAATGTCAATAAAAATATACATATTGAAATGCAATGTGACAGTATTCACAATTCAGCAGAGCAAACTAAGTAAGTTAAAAAAGCCTTACTCTAAATATATCAAGAGCATTTGTGAAAACAGAAGGATTGCCTAGAGAGAAAGTATGGAGAAAGTGAAATCATGCAATATATCTAAGTCGGTTTTATCTCAATTGGTACAAACATACGGAGGCATGAGCGCAGACTGTTCTGATCTGTGCAAATGGATTTGTAGGCTTAGTTTCAGCAACACAAGACTTAATCAACTCCCTCGGCAGGAGAAACAATCTTTGATTTAGCAGATTTTTTTCACTTGGATACTTCTTGCCCATGGGATTTTTTTGCAGCAGTTGCATTTGCGCAAAGAAGCTGAGACATACAGCGTATCTAAGGTACATTATCCACATGGGACGTTATTGTGTGTGTACATTTACTAGATTACAAAGTGATTACAACAGTGATTGACACTGAAATCTTCTCACATTAGCTCCCATCAATTGACCTCAGGATGTGCAGCACATTCTCCCCTACCTTACAATACACACACACACACACACACACACATATATAAAAGCATGAATGCCTGGGAAGTGTGCTGATTTTCTGTCATGATTGCTCAAATACCCGTTGCCACCAGCCATTTAATTTGGCCGTTTACAGAAACAGGTCTTTGTCAGGAGAAAAAGAGATGTTTTTTTTTTTTATCGTCTAGCTCTCGCTCTTTCATTCTAACTCCTCCTCCTATCTCCTTCTTTTTCTGCAGTGTTCTCAGCTGGAACACTTGCGCTTTAAGGCCAACGTATAATAATTTACCACAGGAACAATGTAATAATTTTATTTTTGTGTTGGTTAGATCATATCTGCAGCTGACTACAGCCCCGGGTAAAATAAATAACTACTGTGTGCATGTGTGTGGGCTGTTAGTTTCACTTTGTTTCAAAAAGAAACTGAAATTACTAAATGGTGCAACAGCACTCTGGAAGAATTTCAGGAGAAAATAAACCGATTTCCATTGTGCCTCATCGTGAAAAAAAAAAAACAGAATATTGCTGCGCAATCAGACCGAATAGAGACGTACATGCCAACTGCCCATGGATACAAGTTATAAGTTTTCTTTAACCACACTCAGGTCAGCACAGAGTACAAACGCCCACTTGCTTAGCTAACAGTAATATTTTACATGAAAAACATTGTTCCAGGATATAGTGCTCCTAGATTTGGTAGCACTGCTGATCCTCCTAATCAATCATTATTCGACAGTTAAAAACACAGCTGACTATGTTACAAACAAAACTTCCGTTTAACTTGAGCGAAAAGTGAACTTTTCCCCTACCCTGCTACTCTTCCTCTCCAGCTCCTTAATAATCCTCCAAATTCAGTGTCTGCTAAACCCCTTCCCCAAACAGCAGTTGTCCAATCATAGCTCTAGCAACAGTAACTAGGCGCAGAGGGCCTGTCAAGCTTTGAAATTCCTCCACATTCTGAAGCTTTGAGCATGGGCCTGTAGCAAGAACTTGGTATCTCAAGAGTTTGGCCTTAGACACAGGAGAAAACTGTAATGAACGCATTAAATGGTGTGTTCTTTTCTGCACCACTATAAGCTACCAACAATGGCATACAGACTGCAACCTATAGCGTGACTTCCAATGGGTTAGATTGTGGTTAATTAGGTGTATATAGCTAGCTACATAACTTTGTGTTCTTACAGGTTATGAAAAGAAACCACCTACCTGTTCAAAACTGGAAGTTACACTGCCTGGGAACCAAAATGATATAAGAGTAAAGACAAAAAAACAAAAGCGGCTCTTTCCTGCTCTGTATTTAGTTTGGGGAAGCTTAGCATTCCCAGCCTAATTTACATTAGATAGCATTAGGTTTTCTCTTTTTAGAGTAACAGACTTACCTTAGAATGAACATATTTACCATTTTAATGTCTATAGAGTTTATACAATACTAGAGTTCACTAGGCACCCTGCAATACAAGAACAATTCTGCTGCTTTATTTTCTTCACATAGATCCCCAACTGATAACTTTTTTGCTTTAGCTTCAATAGCATATTTATGCATTTAACCATCATGTGCATTTCTAGGAACCCTATACAGACTTATTTTGCAAACAAAATTGCAAAAATGCATTATCATTAACAAACACTGTAGCTACAGATGACAAAATCTACTTGTGACAGTCACCAGAGTCATCATCATCATCATCAGCAAACAGAAGTCATGTTGGGTTGAAGTTCTGAAGCCTGCTTTTGAATATTTATGTGTGAAATCCCATTGCTTCAAAAATCCCAACACATTTTGAGATGGTACATTCTTCTTTTCATGAGTGACTAAAGCGAAAGGTCAATTCCAAGTTCTCCTTATCCTTTTCAAATTCCTCCTGCTGTTCATGTCTGCTAGGTGGCACAAAGCTTGCCCATGATCCAAGCAAAGGGTGCCGCTAACCACGCCACTGATCCACTGAAGTGAAGTTTGGCAGGTTTGAGCTCTAACTGCCTACTGAAGAGGGTTCACAAGGAACAGAAATAATAAAATCAAACGACAAGAAACCACTGCAACAAGTTTCTAAATTTCACTTGCAACATTTCAGACAACATATTGATTTATTTAGAGAGCGACAGTGGGAGTGCCAGTCCCAATCTCGGAGTTTCCAAACCATTTTCTAACAGAATTCGGCACAAATAAAGCCCTCTGTGCGGGTGTATATTCTACGCTTCTGTGCTTCTGAGACGCCAGAGGTCAGTGAAGCAGGACAGAGGAGTAATGTCTCACATAAAATGACCAGTGAGGACTACCTTTCTCTCTATCTCTTTATGTGTATCTCTTTCTCTGCCCTTTGTTTGTCTCTCTCTCTCTTAGGTCTATGGCACAGAAGAGGATTTAGATGGACACCGGTGCGGAGTCCGGCACAATCGAAAGGAAAGATCAATATGGATAAACCCCTTGGAGAGTACTGACCTTTACAAACCCCACTATATTGTTTAATGTTCTAGACTGCAATTTAATGGATACATCATCACACACTTCATCAAATCGTCTTGTCCTCTCTCATCCCTACTTTTTTCCACCCATTTCAGCTCTTTTCTTTATCTCCAGGGGAATCTATTTTCTATCTAGAGCTGGCAGTATCCCTTCCAATCGCGAGCAGGATCGATAAACCTATGATTGGTCGGGAGCAGAGGTGTATATGTGATATTTTACTTGTAGAACCGCTGATGCTTTAGTGTCTTTTGACAAGTGTCAGTGAAGGGAAAACGTGTTTGAGAATCTTCCCTTGACAAATGAAGAGATCACCTGTGACACAGTTGTAATATAGTCCATTAGAATATAAAGTGATGGGTTATCATCAATCTATTATCGGAATGTGAGGGCATTTGAGTCAAAGCGACTACCCTGAACCTGCCTTTATAGAACTGATGTTGAAAGAACATAAATGAAAAGCTTAAGAGCAGAAAGCTCATCCCTGTTCTTGTCAACCAATTTCAGTTGTTTCTTCAACGCCCAGAGAACAAGTTAAGGTCAGTAATCTTGAGATTGGTCAATTTACTTTACGTATGGGTGTAAAATAATTGGTCAGGAACTTTCACACCGACAGCTATAAAAATTTATCAAGGCAATTTCAACACAAACATTGTAATGGACTAGGTGATATGAGATACTGCTAGCTTTTTAGAGATGTTTGTTCAGGTAGAGAGGAGAGGATGAAACCGAATGTTAAGTGCAGATGGTATACCAATACCTTTGATACTTATGATAAATATACTGTGGTATGAAAATGTAGGATCGTCATACCATGTACATTTGCTTATCTATGGTATTGAATTCTAATGTATTAAAATGTATTATTAAAAATAGGACATGATATTTTGTGAAATTATAATAAAGCATTTGTTCAACCAACAACCAACTGTTTGCAAATACATTTTCAGCATCATCATACAGTGACAATCTGTGACATTTTCATACACCTTTGTTTTTTTATCCTATTCTGTGTGGCTGAATGACATTAAACAAGTGCAGCCTACTGACACAAGTTCATCAAATGACAAGTCAATGCTGGTCCCACTCTTCAACTGGTTATTTTTTGTGCTCCGCAAAAACATCACACCAGTTCCACAAAGGTTTAAGAATTTCTCGTCATTTGAAGATAACCGCTTGTTAATAACACTTTGTTTGGCTAGTTGGAACCCAACTGCTAAAAATAAAGCCACAGTTCTCAACCAGTCTCATCCACCCTTCGCTCGAGGCAATTTTCTCTCTTTCTTTTCCAAAAAACAAACAGTTGATAAAGTAGCATGTAGAAGGACAAAGTCCCATTCATAGCCTGCTGAGCGCTATCACTCAGCAGGCAGAGGCTTTTGTCAGCTTCCTCAACTCAGCGCAATGAGCAGTAAACACACACAAGCATCCGAAAACACACATTAGAGATAACACCAAAGCTCAAATATACCTTGATGTGGCACACACACACGTGCTGAGACACACACACACCTACACAATAGGAAGTAAA